TAAAGTGGTGCGTGCAAAACACACAGGGGAAGGGGGTACAGCTGCTTAGGGGAAGGAGGAGTATTAATCAATGAGAAAAAGTGCAGATTGCTTTAATTAAGCTAATGAACACAGTCGATCTGAGTGCTCTTTTCCTCAAAAATTAAAAAGACCGCAATCCAAACAAAACCCAGAATCATACATTTTAATTTAGCACACACAAAAAAAAAAAAAGAGTCAGCGGCACTCACAGTTCGGTAACTTATCTTCCACTCCACCGCCTGATCACGTATCTCAAATACTTCACTGTCCAACTGGTAAGTTATGCTGTCCGTCTGGCCTGCAGCACAAAGGCCAGCACGCAATCCTTTGGCAGCTGAACGCAACAGAAGATTATTGGCCACGTGAGCAACCAGCTACAAGACAGAGTTAATATATTACCATTTCCTAAACTAGCAAGTTGAGATTATACGACCCATTTCCACACAACACCCAACACTCCCATTAAGTTCCACTAGTGTTAAATTAATAAAAAGCAATAAAAAGTCATCCTCGTTTAAAAGTAAACATTGAGCCAGCTGCATTTTGGTTTTTTCCTGGTAGCTTACACCTCCGAGCAAGCTTGCACATGGATTTGCTTTCTCCCCAGTACAAGCTTCCTAAATAATTGCCATCCGAGCTCTGCTGTCCCATTCCAGAGTAGCCGTGGCACTGCTTGCTCCAGAATTACGCTGACAGCCAAAGTTACGAGTAATTCCATCCCTTTTCCTCCTCCTCAATTAAAAGAAAAAAGCCTGACAAGTCCATGTGGACTGCAGCGAGTCTCCTACAACCACAACGCCCGATCACAGCACATTTATAGCTATGGAATCGGGCCCAAGGCAAACAAACTAGCTGGATGAGGATCTTTGATGCTTCTGTTTTCCAGCTGGCCAAACCCATGTGTTTTGACAACACAGAAAGCGTGATCTAGGAGCCCGAGCACGTAAGCCAGTCACTCGCTCCTGAGCTCGGATTAAGCCCTAGGTCTTGCTGTGGCTATTGGCGCAATCCTGCTCTGCAACCTCATTGCAAGCACTTTCTTTGATCCAAAAGGCTTCTGCCAAGAGAGTATTCCTACCCCTGACAAGTTGTTTTCCATCTTCCCCAGCACTTTCCACCCATCTGGGATCAAGAAATAAAGCCAATCGTCCCCAAGATTTTCTACGGAGCGAACAGGACGAGGACACGTCAGCACCAGAAATTTATCACCATCTGCAAGGCACCACCACACGTTATCCCTGTCAACAGCTCCCAGAAAAATCCCAACAAGCTGGACGACTAGGGTTCAGGCAACAAGCAGGGTATGCGCCGAGACATACCACGAAGGGGGTGGTACGCGAACAAATACAGCAAAATAACGCAGGGTTAGCACCGCTTCCCACAGGTACCGCGAGGGAAGGCAGGACCGGGGCTGCGGTCGCATCCCCCTCGGCCACGGGTGATGCTCAGATCCAAATTGCCTGCCACTAGGTCTGGCTGCACTCCTCTTGGCCGTTCCCTTCTCCCAAAGCTTTCAGAGCTGCAAGTTGTAACTCCTCATCGTGTTATTCTGCTTTTCTCTGAAAGCACTGATGTAGCCGTGCATGAAGGAACCGGCAAAGGCACAGCAGCACCCAGAGCATTTATGCCAGTCTCTCCAAATTCGCTGCCTTGACAGCTTTCCTCACCCAAAGCCAAGTCACAGGGAATTTTCTTCTGAAATGCCACAAACGCCTGCCAGGCTTTGAGGAGCAGAAGGTGGAAAGAGAAGGCAGAGGAGGAGTATTAATACAAAATTTGCTATTTTCATTGCCTTTGCTCTAGACAGAATAAAGCCACGGTGTATCAGCAGTTTTGCCTTTAATCGGGACTTGCACATTCTGACATTTTGAGGCCAATCAGGTACGCTATAAATAAAAAGATGATACTACAGGAGCAAAGCTGAGCTGTGAAAAGTTCCTGCAGGGCATCAAGCCCCTGCAAAGCCCTTCTTTCCAGCCAGCCAAGCCGGTCTTGCCTGCAGAAGGGAGATCCTTAACACTGCCACTGAAAAGGTTCAGAAGGGACAAGCTACAAGCAGAAGCACCCTCGTAGCCTGGAGAACAGCAGATGCACAACCCGTGCCAACAGCCAACCAACAGGTCCTCGCCCAAGTGACAAAGCAGACCTGTATCCAGCACCAAGCAAAACACTCCTGCCATCTGCTATCCATGGGTTTGCGCTCCCCGGCAGGCTCCTGATATCAAAGGGAATTTAAGCTGCAGGGAACAACTACTAAAAGCATTTTATGACACAGCAGTGGAACATACCTACACCGCCTTTACACACTCCGTCAACCCAACACAGCAGGTTACGGGGAGGAGACGGGCTACAGAGTCAGCGCCTGTACAGAACAGTGACTCCGGTCTCAGGCCAAGTGCCTGTAGTGCATTCAATACAATCTGGATTTTCAATCGTACTTCAAAAACAAAAAGCAAAAACTATTAAGTTAGTTATGTAAAACTTCAGGATTTTTACTTTTTTGGGTGAGCGGGGACATCGAAAGGAGGAGGAATCCACAAGCGGAACTACGGATCCATTTGCAGCCGAAGCAGAGCTGGTTTTGAGGACAAGCGACTGAAAGAGCTGCCCAAGGGGACCTCTCTCATCCCTTCAGGCTGTTAGGGAGAACACAAAGCAGCCAACATACTGGCTGCACCAGCCTGACAGCAAGCTCCAAGATAAACTGGCCACCCAGCTGCCGAGCAGACTCCCCATGTCTTAGGTGTCCCAGAAATCTGCACCATCAAGCTGCAAACTGCTGTCTGCAAGATTAAGCACGTGCTCCCCTTCTGCACGCAGCTCAGCAGCTGCGGCAAAAGGCTGATGCCAGATTTTAGCTTCAGCTCACCTCTCTGCCCACACACCAAGGCTCCGAGAACTGCCAGCCTTCCCCTCTCCCGGCCCTGCGTGACGGGGCGAGATCCAAGTCAACTCTTCCCTCTGCTGATGCCGACAGGAACACCTCTAACAGGCTGCTCAGAAACAACCTACTTCTTATAGCTTATTCACTAGAACGGTATTAGCACTTCAGATCCTCACCTCTAACACTGCGGCGGGTTTCCCACTACTGACAAAGCAGTAGGAAACAAAGAAAAAAGTGCCCCAAATCACCTTCAAATTCCCAGAGGTTTGTAAAACTATATCCAAAGAGACAGGAATTAATCCTGTGAGTGATGTGACCTTCTGCTCAACGTCTCTGCTGGAGACTCGGTTCTCACGCAGCTTGAGGGAACGCTCAAGAGCCAGAAATAGCAAAAAGCCCTTGTGAGAGCGAGAATAAAAGCTGCTCGCAGTTGGTGAAACTAGGCAGTGACCGAAACGTTCTCACAGAAAGGGCCCGAATCCTCCCAGCGCAACACGTGTA